AAAAAAAAGCAAGTCATAAGTCCTCAAACTATCCCTAACTCCCCAAGTGCATAAAATAACCCTCAGAAAAGTCTCCAGTCTCACTCAAGATCTCCTGCCCTACTTGCTTCAATTTTAAATGTATCTCAAGTTGTTTCTCTACCCTGATTCAAAACAATTCCTACCTTTGCCACAAGCATTCAGAGCAATATAATTACTCCCAAGATAACAGCTGCAGCAGGAGAAGCTTCATCATTTGAGTACCTTAAAGAATGTATTAAGATCCTATCTCAAAATTTCATCTCCTACCTCACAAGACAGACATCAGTATCTCTCTTCAAAGGCACACATTTTACAGAATCAGGACTTAAGAACATCATCATACATACTGGAAAAACATTCTTCCTGCTCTACTGCAGGCATCTATAGTCCTGCCAGCCACTGCCACCACCACATTCAAGAACTATAATGAACTTCTCACCTACAGAGAAATTGTGGCTTTCTCCTAAATACACATACACATAAAAACTCCTCAGATGGACAACTGAAAACCAAATCTGAGGCAGTTATAATCAAATAATGTTTTTATTCTGGCAGCACTTCCAGCATTTTGCTGAAAGGAGCTCAGGTGATCATTTTTCAATAGAAGCATGACAAGTCTAAAAGTAACTAAGCTGAATTAACAATTACAAATCTCTCATTTTGCTTCTGTTAGCAAATTCAAGATGCAAAAGTCTCCATACCAGCTAAAAGCAAACCACTAAGCAGGAAAGCCTCTGCTTGACAAAGATCACTGAAGAAACACAAAGTGGGTACACAACTATTAGCCCAGGAACCTCTCTGCAGGTTGGCAACATACTTCAGTCATTAGACACTTGAATGATCCTGAGTAGAGGCACATTACACAAGACAATGATGCTCAGTCTATGCTTGGAGGAACAAATCCCCGTCTCATACAGAAACCTCCACTTACCTGGCACAGCGAACCCAGTTGATGTGTTGACTAAGTGAGAATAGAAACTTCTGCCTGTGAACTGTCCACACTTTGACTGTTTTGTCATCAGAAGCTGTAACTAAGGACTGGCCATCGCTGGAGAAATGAACACTTCTTACAGTTGCTGTATGAGCCTTGAAGACAGTAGATTCTCCTTTGCTATATAGAAGAAAAAATACTTTAAAACTGCACAACAGGACAGCAAAGATATTACACACCTGAAAACAAAAGGTTCTGTGTGCTAAGCAGTGCTATCAACCACCATTTCCACGGGAACTGTATGTGCTTAGGGTTAGGAAGATAATACTGATCAACCCCAAACAAACTCATGCTTTGTGAGCTATACAGAACACACAGCTAAAACCAGTTGTTCCAGTCCAACACTGGAGCCCAATCCAAACAGGAAACAACTTATGTTTGCTCTAAAGGGGCAAAAATGCTATTTTAATTTGTGCAACCATTTAAACAACACGTATGAGAACATCAGTATAAAAAGATGCTGGGATTCTGTGCTGTTACCAGATCCTGCAGGGCAGGTGAGGAGGGAGGTAAGTGTTTTCAGAGCCAAGAGGGCAACTACCTCACAGCTACCCCTGTAACAGCCCATACTCCAGCTGAACGCTTCCGGTGCAGCATCACACAAGAAATAATTGGGGGCCTACAAGAAAGCTGGGGAGGGACTTTTCATAAGGGCAGTTAGTGACAGAACAAGGGGAAATGGGTTTAAGCTGAAAGAGGGGAGGTTTAGATGAGATATTAGGAAGAAGTTCTTCACTGTGAGGGTGGTCAGACACTGGAACAGGTTGCCCAGAGAAGCTGTCACTGCTCCTCCCTGGAAGTGTTCAGGGCCAGGCTGGATGAGGCTTTGAGCAACCTGGTCTAGTGGAAGGTGTCCCTGCTGCTGGCAGGGGGGTTGGGACTGGATGAGCTTTAAGGTCCCTTCCAACCCAAACCATTCTATGATTCTATGAAATAACACGACTCAATTCAGTGTGCCTGATGTTGTACAACATTGAGCAAGCTCCTGTTAACACAACCAGGCAAGACAAAAGACAAGATATTGTTAACTCTTCTTTACCCCTCTTTTTCAAATAAACACAAGAGGCATTCTCCTGGCAAATAAACACAAGGCATATTTAGAGATACAACAGATATATGGGACTATTGTCACAAAATACATCTCCAGCATGTACTGTACTCACAGAAGATCAATATTCACAGGCAGAAGAGAAAGATGTGATGGTTTGCTCCCTTCTCCATTAGGATTTAACAGACTTTATACTGAGGCTGAGGACTACTAAAACTACCAAAAATGTAAAGGGCAAAAAAATCAAAATACTACACACGCTCCAGCAATATTCCCTCCCTCCTCTGAAAAGGTCAGAGCCACCTAGCTTTATTTAATTCTTCATCTGACAAAAGGCAAGAAACAGTAAAGGTTACTTCTCAGGGAAGTGTTCTTTCTGTCCAAAACCACAGAGAACCCCAAGTCTGATAAAAACTCATGTAGAAACATGAAATGACAAAATTCTGTCAACATGATTGATAAAAAACCCCAAAGACAGAAATCCACACACCATGGTAGCATTAACTACTTCAGTAACATATCACCCCTGAAAGGGTCTGCAAGTTTTCACATTCCTTGGAAATAAAGTCCTGGCCCACAGACTATAAGGCAGCTTCTCCCTCTCTTTTTAATGACAGTTCAGAACTGGCTGAAGGTCCCAAATCTGATTCAACCTCAGTGCTTTTTTTTTTTGTTCTAGCTAGATAAGTACTGGCAACTGCTTTTCTGCAACTTGGCTGCAAAAACTTCTCATTACTTGTGGCAAGATTAAGTCTTCAAGTAGAAGTTCTTCAGTGCTCTCTTGTTTGTGTTGTATTTCAATTAAGTGTTCCTTGCTAAAGGCCTATCACTTAAAACAATGCATCAGAGTGAAACAAGAAGTTACGAGGTCTCTCAGCCAATGATTGTCAAGGATTTGACAAGTGTTAATGAGTTCAGGCAACTAAATCCTCTACTCAAAAATAGAAACTTCATAGTTACACATTCAGACAGTTAAGGTATTGAAAGGGTAAGTAAATTCTTATTAATCATATGCAAGGTCACAAAAAAGTCAATACACAATGCAAATTAGTCTTATCTTAGTAATATACCAACATTTACCATCAGTGGAACACAGAGTTACTAGTTTCAGACCAAGAAAACATTAAAGGCACCTAACAGTTTTGTGGACCACAGCAAGAACACAAGCTATAACCTCCCTCCTGCTCACAGAACAGGCATCGCCACCACCAAACCCCAGCTTGTGTTTCAGCACCTTGTTTAACAGAGAGAAGCAAAGGATCCATTTGTTAGGAGGAAAGACAGACTCGGGGAGGAAGGGGAAGAAAAATCCTACAGTTCACCACTGATGGGTTACATCAGTGACTCATTTTATTAGCCTAGAAAGTTAATACTGAATTTAAGCTTTGCAAATGATTTTAGGGTTTTTTTCCAATACAATTTCAAGACCAAATTACCTCTCCTCTGTCAGAGCCGCTACTAAAAATGATTCTTCTGTCCTTCAAAGAGATCCCAGTCTCATAGCTGGAGAACCACTATCTAGAAGTAAGTAGAAATCCCAATTCATAGTTAAAAAACAAAAAGAGAGACAGAGGGAATAGACACTTACACACTGGGAATCCATAAACGGACTGTTTTGTCTCTAGAGCCTGAAGCCACTAGGTGACCAGATGGTGAAAACTGAACACACATCACTGCATCTTTGTGGCCCACGAAGCGATAGGCTCTCATCTGAGGTCTCATACTCCAGATCATCAGGCACGAATCCATTGAGCCACTTGCTGAAATAAAACAAAAACAAAACAAAACTTGCATTAACTCTCTTCCAATTACACTGAAACTCCATTTGACACTCAGTTCACCATTACAGCAATCTCAAGCCCATTGCCCTTTAAGCTTCACCAATGTATTGCATGCTGCATATTTCACTTGTAATTCAAACAAAACAAAGTCACACATTGCCTTGGAATGACAATTCTACTTCCAAGAGTCAGTTCATGCAACAGCTGCAGAGGCAAAAGCCACACAAGTCAGAAAACTTGTTCCAAATAAAGACACAGTAAGGAAACATATAGAAGGTCTGTGGATGAAGGTTCTTCACTTTTTTATTGGGAAGCAGAGGTAACTATCAGCTGCATCAGGCTAAATAACAGGTAACACACTACACAGTAAGCAGAGAAGCCCTGTGTGTTGGTGACTTAAAGGCAACCCAGCTACATCTCCCTCCAACACCTTGTTGCAAAACGTTGATCAAAGCCAGCTCAGCAGTTCTTAACATTACATGAAAAAAACAGGCTTGCAAAACAATTAGAGCAGAATTCAGTTTGCTCTTGGCAGGAGAGGTCAGCAGGACTTGATAGTAGTCATGAGAGGCTTTAAGGAACTATGGATGGGGTCCTTCCATCTGGTCACACGCACTCTTGCCTACTTCTATACTCACCTGTGGTATAAAAAAAACCAACCAGCCTTCTGTTTCACAGTCACTTCAACACAAAAATAAATACTCATCTATTTTCTTGCTACTGATTTGGGATTAATATATACCCATTTCAAATAGGATCATTCATTATGCCTGTCACCCAGGGGGAAACAAAAAACTTACATATCTGTCAGTTCAGTTGTTGGTTTTGTACTTCAGATCAGCAACATATTTCCTCAGGGATATAAAAATTTAAAGGGAGACAACTGTGTAAAAGTAGATTGAGCACATGGCCTAGTGTCAAGAGATTTGAACGTTAGTCATAACTACACTAAGTCATTGTCTGTCAAGGACATTAAGCTGCAATATCCCCAGGACCAATGTTAAAAAAATTGAAGGAAAATAATGCTCTGACATCTCAATAAAGCACTTTAGTATGATAGTGCTTATTTGCAACTCGCTTCTAATAATTGCCATCATTACTGGACGGGGCACGCAGCCTAATGAAATAAAGAGACAGAGTCTTCTAGGTTTGGTTAGTTGTTCTGGAGAGTAGAAATGGGGAAAAAGAACTTTAGAATCTCATGAGAGTCAAGTACATATGACTGACCTAACAGTACCACATAAAAAAAAATCCTTAGAATTTGTTCCCTTTCACATGTGATCTAATTTAATAAAAATATCAATAGGAACACTTTCATGGTCTAGATGGAGGCAAAGGTCCCTGTACTAATTGTGAAAAGCCATTCAAAAGCAATACTAAGTTACATTCAGAGCACCCTTGCTAAACAGAGATCTGCACTGACTGGATAGAGTAAACAGAATCATGGACACAGAGCAGAATCAACTCTTGCACTGCAACCAAAGATGCATGAAGTGGAAAGGAAAAGACAGTAGATAAGAATAAGAACAGCAGCAGGGAGGGAGGGAGGAAGAGGGTCCAAGTATAATTTGATTCATTTTAATTTCCTCACCATTTCCAGAGCATTCTGTAGCTTGCAAGATCCAGAACAGGATTCTCACCTGCTACACTGATGCATTTCTATTTATTCACATCTATTGCACCCACTGCCTACCATGTCCATGTCCTCAAACTGTCATTTCTGCCTTATCTTCTCTGTGAGCCAAAGCAACGTCCCCCATTGTCACACAGACTGAATGGTAACTTCACTAAGAGCCAAAAACCCTCCTGGTTCCTACTGAAGGCACACGCTGCAATAGGCTACTGAACAACTAGGACACAGCCTCGGCATAACACCACAGGCAGCTGTCTGAAGAAGAGAAAAGGAAGATGGAGAAAAAAAAGTAAAGTTTTACCTTAAGTTGACTGCATGGTAAAGCAAGGTACATGCAACAATAACCAACAGTAGATGTCACTAAAGCCTTAGAAGGATACACACAACGTGCCACTCCTATGGGTCAACAACAGGAGTTTTTCCCAAAGCACAGAGAAATGTTCATCCTGAAATTCCCCAAAATCTGGTAATCACAAAAATAAGTTCTTTGCTCTTGCAGAGTTCAGTACCTCCAGTGCTCCCTCCACTTAACTAAAGGAGAGAAGCTCCTCCTGTATAACCTGGCCATCGAAACACTGAGAGATGATTTACCCAATTGCTTCTTATTGATACTGAAGTCCACACTAGTGACAGCATCTCTGTGGCCTTTGAAGTGCCTCTCCAGGGATGGATCTTCCTAGAAGACAACAACATTCAGATGCTATAGATTAAGAACCATCTCTACACAATAAAACCCCCTTATTTCTATGATGAGCTAACCAAGCCACATATTCATCCCACAAAAGCCAGGTAGAAATATGACCATTGTGCAACACAAAATGTTAATTTCACATGTATTGACAAACTTTAAGAGGCAAGTTATCCAAGCTGATAAGCCCTCTGGATCTTAGGTGACTCAGGTGAATCGTATGTGCATTTTTACAACATGCTGCTGGTGCAGGGACCTCAAAGCTGACTTTGGAGCAGATCAGCCATGTTGATGACCACCTGAGCAGGCCATCAAGCTCAGCTTTGCTCTGACAGCTGCTCATCTCAGCCAGGGGTAGCCAAGAGGCAACTATTTGCACAGAAGGGACAAATTTGCAAGACTTAACACACCTGTCAAAACAGACAGGTGGTATCTGAACTGCAGCAAAGCAGACTGACTCACTACTGTTCCCCTACAGCAGGGGAACACAGCATGTCTCTACACAGCATCAAAGGCCAAACAAAGCCTGAGGTCAGGCAAAAAACAAACAAACAAAACCAAAGCCACAAGGAGAGAACCATTACAAGAGGTTGTAACAGTTGAAAATTGGTCAGACTTCAGAGCAGGCTGATCAGCCTTCAGTCCCTATTCTCATACATAGCCTCTGCCTCCCTGGCAACCCCCACCACTGCCTGCCCCCCGCTATCCCCAAGCACCGGCCAGCTCCCTTGCCGACCACAGGACCCTCCTAGGCTGGGGGGACCCTGCTAGGGGTCTACTCCTCCTGAGAACCTGACCACAGCCCCAACCAGCTCAAACATGCACCCAGCCCCAGAAGAACACGGCCGACCTCCCCTCACAACACTCAGCACCAGCAGTCCCCAGACCCAAAGCTCCCCCACCTGCACCAGCCCCACACCCTAACAGCCTAGAGGTGCCCCCACACTCAAACACGAACCCCTTGCAGCTGCAACAGCACCCCAAGGCTCAGGGCTGGCCTCTTGAGCGTTAAGCTCTCCCTCAAACCCAACT